AACCTTTGTTAAGACTGAAAGTTAATCCACAACTACTGGCCTCCGCCTCAACTGAGCAGACGGTACAAAGATCCACTTCACTTCAATAATGCGTTACGTAACAGACATTGTAAACTGGGCCCCACACAGCCATAGAAAGTGATCAGTGCTGCAGATTAGTCCAGTGTTTTAATCTGAAGCTGTTTCTATACAACAGTTACACAAACATAACATAGGCAGCACAGACCGATCTGAATATTTTTTTCTCTTTCCTGAATGTTGCATTATTCATATCAGATAAGTAGAAGTAGCTATACAACAATGTAAAAGCATCAAATTGAAAAAACAATTTGTATTTAAACATTTTAATCTTGTAGCTGGTGATTGAGCTATTTTTTTATGTTCTGTTGGACAGTTAAATTTGCACCAATGCAGCCTATTTTATAAAGTTTGTTCATAGTTTTTAATATCTTAAAGGGATAGTGCACCCAAAAATGAAAATTCAGCCATTATCTACTCACCCATATGCCGAGGGAGGCTCTGGTGAAGTTTTAGAGTCCTCACATCTCTTGCAGAGATCCCAGGGCAGAGTGGGTAGCAACACAACTCCACCTAATGCAGGCTGACGGCACCCCAGATTAAAATGTCCAAAAAACACAATGAGGCTAAAAAAATGACTTTTTTCCAAACAACTTTTTATGTTGGGGCCTCAGGACACTTGGATCACTACGGACGAGCAGTATGGAGATATTCTGTGGATTCAATTATGTGTTTTTTTGGGCGTTTGAATCTGGGGCGCCGTCAGCCTGCATTAGGTGGAGTTGTGCTGCTATCCACTCTCCCCTTGGATCTCCACAAGGGATGTGAGGACTCTAAAACTTCACCTGAGCCTCTCTCGGCATATGGGTGAGTAGATAATGGCTGAATTTTCATTTTTAGGTGCACTATCCCTTTAATCTGCACTGACAACTAAAGCTGGTTTTAAATGCTGACAAAACAAAGGTTATATATTTCTCTAATGCTAGCAAGAAGCCTGTGAAGACTCCTGGGGCCGTGTTCACGAAGCTTCCTAGCACTAAGAGTCGCTCCTAGTGACAAAATCTTAAGAAAATTCTTGGTCTGCACTTCTTAGAATTTCCCCTTAAAGTCGAGACTAGGCCCTTGTAAATATAAAGTTATCCACAGAGCATCTTAGACCTTAAGAGTTCTTCTAGGAAAAATTGTTAGGAGCAGGGAGGAGGACTTTCAAGAGGCTTAAGAGTTTCTTAAGTGGAGGAGAAAATGGTGAAAACACAAAGAGGTCTGAGAAATATTCTCCAAACACTAAATGACAGTGAGTAAATGAAATGCTACAGATTAGGCTGCACAGGGATATTATTTGTGGTCTATCTCATTAGGGGTATGTACGCCTTTCCCACCTAACACAGTGTCATTAAAATGCCAGAAATAAAATGATCAACACTAACATAGTTGAAAAACTGTTAAAATGCAGCAATGCAGCAGTGATGACTTGTCTCAACCTTCCATCAGCAGAGTAATCACACTGTCAACACTTTCACAGTCAGCAGTTAATTTCATTTCCACCAGGTGCCCACACCTTGCAGGCTCACAAAAGGGCGTGTCTGTGACAACCAATCACACCTGTCAAAAGAAAGCATCACACCTAGCAGCGGGGTCAACCACACCTCCTCACTAAGGTAAAAGTTTCTGTCTCTTCCTTGCTCTGGGTCACTCGGAGAGCTTTCCTAAATCACTCCTGAGCTAGAACTCCTCTCTGAGAGTGATCTCAGAATGTTTGATGTCGTCACTGCTCAGGGGAAGAAGTTAGAGGTTGTCACTTGTTACAAATATCTCAGTATTTGGCTTGATGACTGTTTCTTTTAAACCTCAGCTTCTTAAAACGCTGAGGTTTAAGTCCAGTTTCACATCTGAGCAGAAAAAGACTGGTTGCTGCTGGAGATTTGTTGTACAGGCATGCATCTGCATATTGATTGTACATGTCAGATACTGCACATCATAATGCACTGAGACTTGTTACAAATTGTAAAGCCCTTACTCATCACTGTGCGCTTAATTCCAAGGCTGGTTTGCCTTCTTTAACCTTTCATAGTGTCAGTCACTGGTATTTGTTCAGTTATAAAGCCACACTGGGTAAACTCCCTTCCTACATCTGTTCTTTGAGTGAACAGAAATCTGACTGTAGCTGCAGTCTGAGATCTCAAGACTTAGTTTTGTCTGAAGAAAGGTGCTATGTGCTCTGCTCCCCTCACCTGGGTTATACCATGGTCTGGGTGAATACTCAATTCTGATTGGCTGCAGGGTGTTATGGACCGTTTCATTGCTATTCTGTTGCTAGGGCAACAACTTTGGTCCCTGTTTACTTCCTGTCAGCTTCTGCATTAACATACATTCAAACAGGAAATACAAAGGGACCCATGTAGAATGTTTATGTTGTCCAGTATGAAACGGTCTATAAACGGTCCATAGGACAGCTAAAAAGACGCTCCGGTCAAATTGCCTGATGACAGATTCTAAATTATTGCGCTAGCGCAACTGCTAGTTTGTAACCATAGCAACGGAGACTCGGAGTAGAGGCAAAGGATTACAACGGGCATCATGAGTGATTTTATCGTTTCATTTAATTTATTTGGTGAATTTGATCATTTTGATGACTGGGATGCAGAAGAAGAGAGGTTAGAGAATGAAAAGAAAAGGGAGAAACGGCACAAGCAGTCGCGGGTCTATGGCAAGCCGTTTAACATTTAATCGCTAGACGGGATATTCATTAGCCTACTGATATCTACAACATAATTTTGCCTAGTCAAAACTCTTATTCAAGATATCTTTAATTAGATTTTGACTAGTAAGATTCAAACTACTTTTGCCATTGACGTGTATGGGGTTTGTCATTATAGATATCTCCATAGTTGCGGATATCTACAACGTCATTTTGACTATAATTCAAGTTCAAGATATTTACAACGTCATTCTGACTTTCTGAAACTTAATTCAAGATATCTAGAAAGGACCATGTAGATATCTTCAATTGATGATAATTAAAGATATCTTGAACTTGAATTATGACTAGTCAAAATGACGTAGATATCTCAAACTGGAATTACAGATATCTCCAATGTAGTTGCGGATATCCGCAACTACATTGGAGATATCTATAATGACAAACCCAATACACATGAATGGCAAGAGTAGTTTGAATCTTACTAGTCACAACTGAATTACAGATATCTGTAATTAGAGTTTTGACTAGTCACAACTGAATTACAGATATCTTGAATAAGAGTTTTGACTAGGCAAAATTATATATGATATCAGTAATGAATATCCAGTCTAGCGATTAAATGTTAAAACGGCTTGCCATAGGTCGGCTCTCTGACGCCGGCCTGGAAACTCATCAGATCAAGACCGGACATCGGTGTGAGAGCAGTCTGCAGGCTTATTGGGCTCCGTCAGCGCAGGAGAGACGAGACTGGAGCAACATCTTGTCGTCTCCGAATGTCCCAACAAGCAGTGCTCAATCTGTCAATCTCCGTCCTTCAAATGCCACTATGATGGACATACCCATATCACTTTCAAATCTCACTATTAATGGTAATGTAGCATTTGATTTTAAATAGGAAACAATCGTTAATTTGTTAATGTATTTATATGATTTACATATAAAATTGCTTATGATTTTGACTAGCCTACTATTTGGATGTTGATTATTTGAAACAAATTTTCTTGGGCCTATAAATGAACGCTAATGAATCATGAAAGTAATATCTCAAGGTGTTTTTTTTTTGCACATCATCCTCTGACCACCAGAGTCTGTAACACACAAGCGGTAAGAAGAGCACTGGCTTTCTGAAATAATCATCTTCTGAATAATATCACGTAACGTTTAGCCATCATCTCGCTTCCCTTCACTGATCAGAGTGAAAAACTCATGATTTTAACTGTAAAACACATTAAATCATAAATAATTGATTTAATATTCATTTCTTTGGTGAGTGACCATGGTATAAGCGGGTTAATGCCCTTCGAGGTGTCCATTATCAGGAATGAATGGACTTCGCTGAAGCACCGTCGTCCATTAATTCCTGATAATGGACACCTCGTCGGGCATTAACCCTTACATAACCCACAAATAGAATAGGGGGGTGTATGTCATATGGGTTAAATTATAATAATAATAATTATCTATTATTATTATCATTATTATTATTATTAGAATTAAAATAACTCCAATTGTTGAATAACTTAAGTGAGGTGAAAAGCTGTATCTTTGCTCCATTTTAAAAGGTGCATAAAAAAATAGAAAAACTCATACAAAGTACAAATAATTTGGAAGTGCAGACACTAATTAATTTTGGTGTAATGGCATTGCATGTAATGGATATATTTTGGATTTGCATTCCCATTATAAGTGCACTTCTTCCACTTTCTTTGCACCTACTACTCTGGATACATAGGCTACAGTTTTATATTATCTTATCAATAGGGAACTTGCACATTATATAATCTTATTTTAAACACGGTTTTTAGGGACATTGTGGCTGACAAAAGTGTCCTATGCTACAGAAAAATACAGTCAGTGTAAAACATTGTTGACCGACCTGTTCCCACGATCTGCACAGACTGTTTACCTCCTCTGTGTTTAAAGGACGTGCAGGTCCTGCGGAAACTCTTCACCGCAATGACAACGATTTAAATTATTCAGAATCCTCCGTATAAACATGGCCCGTTTACGCTGATAGATTCTTCTAATCAGCTGTTTGCTAATGTTTTAAACGAACATCGAAAAAACCCAGATCGCTCAACTGCCGTACACTTAATTTGATTTATAAAAGGTGACGGTACGCAGCCCGTTCTCAGAGCCACAGAATGTATAGATTAAGTGTGCGAGGAAAGTCTCGTCAGAGCCTCACCTCTCGCGATAAGTCAGTCTCACTCACGCTCTCCGTCCAACGGCAGCAGAAGGTAAGGTCCTAAAAGCTCACAACTTTGAATTACACCGCGGTTTGAGCGTTAAAGCTGTTTGGGTCCTGTTACAAACAAACATTTACTGAAGTGTAGTCGGTTTAACGCGTTATTTGTAGCGCGTGCTCCGCTGTTTGTGTTAGCTTTAGCCTGCTTGTGGCTAGCAGCGCGTGCATTGTTTGAGGCGATGTTAGTTAGCTTGTTTGCTAACCTGCAAAATGTTGGTTCACATCTCTGCAGGGTTTGTGTGTAGTTTTGGGACCAAACATCAGCAGGTAAACTTTGAATCAGTGTGGTACACAGCACGGAAACAGTTGGAGAAAACCAAACACTGAGTTTTGGACTATACTGTCCTGCAAATTAAACATTTGTAACGTTACTGCTGCAAGCTTTATCGATTAGCCATCGACAGTTTGGACAATTGTAGATGTAATGTGAGTAAAAACAAACAAACAAACACACGGTTTCCAGCCTTTTAAAATTTCAGGGTTCCCTTTGTAACTTAAATTTTTAATTTGAGTTTTGGACTGATCAGATAAGGATTTAAAGGCACTAATTTTGGCTAATAAAGGGTATTTTTGACTGACTTTCATAGACAGTATTTTCAGTATCAATCAGCTCATTGTTTTGTTAATCAATTAATTGATAAGTCTATAAAGAGAAAAAAAAGCCCATCCAGTTTGTAATTTCTGTTATTTTTCATCCAACAGTTTAAAACCCAAATATACTCACTTTACAATTATACAGAAGACAAGCAGATTGTTTTATATATAAATGACTGAAAATGATAATTATCAGAATTATTGGTGATTCACGTTTTGTTGATTGACTAATCATTGCAGCAACTTCAGCTTCCCCTTTTCATTTTTATTTTTATTTGTAAATATCCTTTTGTTTGTTTATTAATTTAATTTACTTATCAGTTTAATGCCTTGTTGTTTATTCTTTATTATGTACATTCCTTTTGGAAAATTGTTAGGAAGGATTGACTTAATGTAAATTACAACTGTTACCACAGCAATAGTCATGAGTTTCAGCCCTAAAACACGATTTGCTTTAGGTTTACTATTTTATCAGTGCAATGTCATTTAAAATAAAGATGTGCAAAGTTAAATATGTACGTTAAAATGCACACTTGTGGAGTCAAGTTATTTTATTTACTTGTTTATTTTACAAGAACAAATGCATAAGACAATGCTTCATATGTAAAATACAAAATAGTAGTAGTAACAGTAGTAGCAGTTTATTTTTAAACACGTAAGTAGCAAATAAACAAAATTATCATACATTGGTAGACAGACATAAAACAAAAAAACATTAATTGAGGAAGCATGAAAACTGAAAACAACATATAATGATTTGATTTACAAGTCCAAAAAGAAGTGGGAGCGGGAGGAAGTACAAATTTATTTATTTATTTCAACCCCTTCTCCATAAATGTACAATAGTCAATCATGTAGCTCCCCATCACTATAAAGCTGTGCAATAATTCATTCTCCTAGATCTATTCTAATATATTAAATTAATTAGCAATTTTATTTGTCTTACAGCGAGATATGAAATAATTAGTAGATGTAGTGCATACAGGTTTGTAGCCATGGCTAATTTGCAACCCCTGTCCCTGGTTAGACTTTTAGAGCTAAAACATTAAATGTAAGATCACTGAGTATGGAGTAATTTAATACAATAAAACAACACAACATACACAGTAGGGCTGCAACAATTAGTCGACTAATCGATGACTAAACGACTATTGAAATAATCGGTGACTATTTTAGTAGTCCACTAATCGGTTTGAGTCATTTTTCATTGAAAAGTACTATAAAAGTACCCCAAAATACTCTTATTGCAGCTTCTTATGTTCAGATATTGGCAGCTTTACACACTCTCCCATGACGGTGAACTAAAACCCTTTGGCGTGAGTACGAAACAAGACATTAGATGATATAATTTTGGAGTTTGGGAGAAACAGACCGTCATTTTTCAACATTTTAACACATTTTTTGATAAAATGATTAGTCGACTAATCAAAGAAATAATCGACAGATTAGTCAACAATGAAAATAATCGTTAGTTGCAGCCCTAATACACAGTATGATACAGACAAAGACTAAGTCAAAAGGAAGACCACAATAAGAACAGAGACAAAAAAAGAAAACAACTAGCAATGATTGTTATTGAACTATGAGGTCTGTGTGTTTGTGTGTGCACATGTCCACACCTGTATGTTGCATTGTGCTTAAAGCACGTGTGTGCATGCATTTCTAAAAATAATGTATTGTATTTCAGTCTAATGCACTCTAACCCTGTTTTAACAGACAGTTGCTTTGCATTACAGGAACAACAGTGACTGTTTTGAGGTGAAAATGTCTCAGACAGCCAATGCCAGCCCTTCATCACTCATGGCCCTTCACTCAGATACACACAAACAGAGCATCCTGAGTAAATTCGACAAGCTTAGGAAGAGGGACCTGCTGTGCGACATCACTCTGGTTGTGGAAGACGTGCACTTCAAGGCACACAAAGCCCTGCTGGCAGCAAGCAGCGAGTACTTCTCCCTCATGTTTACAGCAGAAGATCATATCAGTCAGTCGACCTACCAGCTGGATGGAATGGCAGCTAAGATGTTTGCAGCAGTGCTGGACTTCATCTACAGCGCCCAGGTGTGTGTGGAGGAGGGCGCTACAGAGCAGCTCCTGGCCACGGCTTGTCTTATGGAGGTCAACGACCTTGTCAAGGTGCTCACTGAACTTACACGCTCTGCTGCGGCGGTTAGAGGTGAGAAGTTAAAGGGAGACATTGTCGAGGTGGCAGATCTGTCAAAACGCAAAAGAGGACGACCTAAGAAAAATGTGCCTGTTGTTACAGAGCTGGAGGGGAGAAGCGCACAGTGTGAGGGGTCAGAGGAGGGCCAGGCTGAACATATAGACTGTGATGATGTAGTAGCTGAGTCACAACCTAAAGATGATGCAGATTATAACCCAGGTGCCCACCAGAGCCGGCAGAGCAAACGCAAAATCAGGCCACCAGTGAAATACAAGAGCTACAAGGTGGGCAGCGACACAGCAGGAAGCAAAGAGACTGGGAAGAGAGGCAGGAAAAGGAAATACCCCAACACTGAAGCTCGATGTGAAGACTGTGGCAAAGAGTTCAAAAACCACCTCTTTTTAAAGATTCACCAGAGGACTCACACAGGTAATCTAATCTTTTTTTATGACCTTTTAAATAACATACTGTTCTCTTATTTTTTATGCCAAATAGTGAGTGTAGGAAATTATACAAAAACCATAGTAAAGTATGTCAAAATATATTGTGAAAACATTGTAGAGTAAGTAAAAAAAAAAGTAAATGTAGTATGTCAAAAGTGGTATATCAATTAATTTCATAAAACATCATAGTATATTGTGTGAAAATTTGATTTTAAAAAATAATAGTATAGTATGTAAAAAAAAAAAAAAAATCATTAAGATGGCAAAAAACACTGTAGCATGTTGGTAAAAAGTCAAACATCGTAACGAAATATGTCGAAAAAAAGTAGTAAAAAAGTAAAAAAAACATCATTGTATTTGTAGTGACTTGACTTTACAAAACAAAAAACCTACCAGCCACTGAGGGGCTGCTATACTGGCACTTGACTATTTGATGCATCTCCTTTGTGCAGCTTTTAGATTAATTCAGACTCACAAGCATCCGTGCAGCAATACTCAAGTGTGTTTATTTACACATCCTCTGGTCCATCACAACAAGCGTCCATTGATCTACGTGCACTTATACTATTAATAACTTGCATGCAAAACAAACAAAGGCTCCATTGTCAGCCATGCTACACCTGAGGGTCAAAAAACTGTGTGCTTCAACGGAAAGCAACACCTGCCGAAGTGATACTTCCTCTTCTACTTATACATTTACCACATACCACCTACTGTGCACATCAGAATCAGAATCTATTGTCATTGTAGGAGTACAACGAATATGAGGTAGCAGCTCTCAGATTCAGTGCAATAAAGGTAACTACAAATGAACACATCTCTTCATATACATGTATGCACATGAACATAACCCAATAATGGCTCTAACAGTATAGTATGTCCAAAAAAAGTCATAAAAACATCATAGTATAGTTTATTAAAGTCATAAAAACGTCATAGTATAGTACGTCGAGAAAAGTCAAACTTTTTAATATAGTGTGTTGAAAAGGAGTCATGAAAAACATCTTAGTATAGTATGTCGAAAGTCATAAAAAACATAGTTTAGTATTCTGAAAAAAATCATAAAAACATCCTAATAAAGTGTGTCGAAAAAAGTCATAAATTGTCAAAGTATAGTATGTCAAAAAAAGTTATGACAAATATAGTATGTTGAAAAAAGTATTAAAAAATATTATAGTATGGCATAAAAAGTCATAATAACATCATGTCAAAAAAAGTCAAAAACTTTCATAGTATAGTATGTCGGGGGAAAAAAGTCCGAAAAACATCATAGTATAGTTTGTTATTAAAGTCATAAAAAACAATAGTATAGTACGTCGAAAAACGTCATAAAAAACGTCATAGTATAATATGTCTGAAAAAAGTCATAAAAGACATGATAGTATAGTATGTTGGAAAAGTCAACAAATTTCATAATGTTCAGGGAATGGTCATAAAAACATCACAGTAAAATATGTCGAAAAAAAAATCATGAAAAACATCAAAGTAAAGTGTGTCGAAAAAGTCATAAATTGTCAGTATAGTACGTCGCAAAAGTCATAAAAAATATCAATAGTCAAAAAAGTCAAAGCGTCGTATGTTGAAAAAATTCCTAAAAAATTGTCATAGTATAGTATGTTAAAGTCTCAACAAATTTCATATAATGTTCAGGAAATAGTCTTAAAAATATCATAGTAAAGTATGTCGAAAAAAAGTCATAAAAAAATGTCATAATATAGTGTCGAAAAAAAGACATCACTCATATTAAAGTGTCGAAATTTCATTTAAAAAAAAAAAAGTCAGTCAAAAATGTTTTTGTTAAAATGTCATAGTTTCTCATAGGACTGTCTCTCCACTGATCAACTGAACCTCGGTGTTGTTATTCTGCAGGTGATGCCACACCACAGTTACTACCTGTATATTCACCAGTAGACCTCACTGTATTTCATCATGTGTTTCATCAGGAGAGAAGCCTTTTAGGTGCCTGGTTTGTGGAAAGGCTTTTACCCAGAAGCACACTCTGCTGGTTCACCAACGCATGCACACTGGAGAAAAGCCGTTTGTTTGTACCATCTGCTCCAAAGCGCTGTCCACCAAACACTCCTTACAAGAGCACATGAACCTCCATGAAGGTAGGAGCTGATGAAGTTTATCTTGTTGGTTCTTTATTCGCTGTACTGTGCATTATTTATCATCCCGTTCTCTGCTGCTCTACTATTAAACTTTTCTCTTTACCTGCAGAAGCCAAATCCTTCAGCTGTGATAAATGTGGAAAGACCTTCACTCAGAAGAGGCAACTTAAAAGCCATTACAGAGTTCATACAGGTGAGAATCACTTCACTTCATTAGCACCAGGTTAACTGAAATACATTCACTTTAAAGGTTCAATAATGTATTCTTTATTCTGTTTCATGTAAGGGAAATCATTACCAGAATGTGCTCAGTGCCATCACAAATTTATGGACACGGCTCAGCTGAAAAAGCACCTAAGAACTCATACAGGTAAAGTCAGACAAGCTGTTAAAACTACTGTGTAACTGATACCTATATGTACATGTGTAAAAGCACTTAATGACATTCATAATATCCTTACAGGTGAGAAGCCTTTCACTTGTGAGATTTGTGGAAAGTGTTTTACAGCCAAAAGCACTCTGCAGACTCATATCAGGATACACAGGTGAGACATATGTTTTCCATATGTAGCCTCCAAACATATATTTTAGATAGAATAAAAGTTTGTCATATAACAGCTTTATTTAATGTTACTGAACAAATATGAACATTCAATCAACCACAGGGGTTGAAGAAGCATTTGGATCCTTTATTTGAGCAAAAGCATCAAAACAACAGTGTAAAAATACTCCAATACAAATAACATTATTGCATTCAAATTAAGTAAAAGTACATAAATATTATCAGCAAAATGTAATTTAAGTATGAAAAGTGAAAGTATTCATATTCTGAGACATGACGAGGTACAACTAGATACTTTGTTGTAAGAGATCAAAGTTGAGAACCACTGATTTAATCCTTAAAAAAAAACAAAGTTGTCAAGTAAAAAGTACACTGTTCCCTCTGAAATATAGAGAAGCAGAAAAGGGAAATACTCAAGTGAAGTACTTCAGTAACCATCAACAGTCAGTTTAGCATCAATTTTGAGTTATGTTTCTGACAACCTGTTAATATTCACTCCTTTTAGCTCTATTTTTGGTCTCCACCAGGAAAAAATCTGGCTATTTAGCTGCTAAATACATTGCTTATTATGCTTAGGTTAAAGTATACTATGCCCAAAAAAGTATTTAAAAAATCAAAACATAGTATAGTATGACAAAAAATAAATAAAAAATAAGTCATAGTATAGTACATCAAAATTTCATTCACCCAAAATGATTGCTAAAATTGCTCTGCTGGGTATCTGTTATTGCAGGTTTTGTTAAACTGACTTTTTTGTGTTTCTGACCTGTCCAACATTTACTCCTTGAAAATATCTGGCTATTTAGCTGCTAAATATGTCGCTTTTTATACTTAGGTTATAGTATAATATGCTAAAATGTATAAAAAAAAATATACAAACATTAGTTTAATAAAATCTACAATAACTGATGTCCAGCAAAGCAACTTTAGCATTCATTTTGAGCTGTGTTTCTGACATCCTGTCCAACATTTATTCCTTTTAGCTCCATTTTTGGTCTCCACCAGGGAAAAATCTGGCTTTTTAGTTGCTAAATGCTTCACTTTGTTTAGCAGCTAGTTGCACTTTTCATGCTGGTGAGGTTTTGTAGCTTACAGTGGATTTTTTTTAAAGCTCTTTTGCTTAAAATGTTTGCCTGCTATAGCGAAAAATTATGCTACGAGAGCAGTGAGGACCAAAACAGCAAAGTTGTGAGCCATAAAACCAAGATAATAAGCTGAAACTAAAACGTTCATCAACATGACTCCTTCATATGTGATCCATTGTTAAACTTCAAAACAATCTTAACATCAAAATGTCCTTTTCCAGAGGAGAGAAGCCGTACGACTGCAGCATCTGCAACAAATCCTTCTCAGACCCCAGCGCCAGAAGACGACACGTCGCCTCTCACTCAGGGAAGAAACCCTTCACATGCTCCTTCTGCAGTCTCTCATTCACCCGCCTGGACAATCTGAAGACACATACCAAATCCCACAACAAGGAGCGAGCTGCGACAACAGAAGCCTCTTCAGATGAAGCAGGAGCAGACACTGCAGCGCCACAAGAGGAGGTGCGCAACATCCTGCAGCTGCAGCAGTACCAGCTGCCCTCCAGCTCTGAACACGAGATCCAGCTGGTGGTGACGGGAGACGTGGACGACATTAACTTTGTGCCAGGTCAGGGCCAGGACATCAGCATCATCACCACAGAGGGGGAGACGACAGAATCGGACCACTCCAGACTCACCCTGCTCACCCAGTCGTCAGGAAACGTGCAGAACGTGGCTCTGGTCACTCAGGGTGGCGTGGTGGAGCAGAGCCCTCAGATTCAGACCATCAGCATGCTGGAGGGTCAGATGACGCACCAACCTGAGCAGATGCATGTCATCACGCTGAGCAAAGAGGCGATGGAGCACCTACAGGCCCACCACGGTCCCCCGCAGCCCCTTCACATAGCACAGCGACCCGTCCAGCAGCTGCAGGTGATGCACCAGCCGATCCAGCAGCTGGCCGTCACTCAGGACAGCTCGCAGGTGAGCAGGGAGCAGCACAGCCAGGCCATCCACATCAGCAGCCAGAGCAGCCAGCCCATCTCCATCAGCCAGACCAGTGAGCAGATCTCCAGCCACCACATCCAGGGACAGACCTTTCAGATCCAGGCAGGGACCGTCTCCTACCTGTACACCACGGGGCTGCCGCAGGAGAGCTGAGAGTGCCAAATCCTGACTGATATGCAGCGTAATGGGACAGGAACACGCATATGTACAGTATATGGATGAGTGGATGATGTTCTTAAATATAACTGGAGAATAAAATGCCTTTGCTTTGAAAATAACATCTAAGTCTTGTTTCACAGTAAATCTTCAGACTGCATATGCATGTCAAATAGCAGCTAACTTGTAAAACAAGTTCATGCTGCTTCATAAAACACCCAGGGGTGAATCTCACAGGTCTGGCAACAGCGTCTCTGCAGTCCGGACATGCAGGCGAGACAAGTTCTGGAAGAACAAAGGTATATATGAATTTATGATCCAAAGACAGAGTAACAACAATCCCACTGTAATACCTGATTAGAGAGGTGCTTTATGTTGCATGTACAGTACAGGCCAAAAGTTTGGACACACCTTCTCATTCAATGCGTTTTCTTTATTTTCATGACTATTTACATTGTAGATTCTCACTGAAGGCATCAAAACTATGAATGAACACATGTGGAGTTATGTACTTAACAAAAAAAGGTGAAATAACTGAAAACATGTTTTATATTCTAGTTTCTTCAAAATAGCCACCCTTTGCTCTGATTACTGCTTTGCACACTCTTGGCATTCTCTCCATGAGCTTCAAGAGGTAGTCACCTGAAATGGTTTTCCAGCAGTCTTGAAGGAGTTCCCAGAGGTGTTTAGCACTTGTTGTCCCCTTTGCCTTCACTCTGTGGTCCAGCTCACCCCAAACCATCTCGATTGGGTTCAGGTCCGGTGACTGTGGAGGCCAGGTCATCTGCCGCAGCACTCCATCACTCTCCTTCTTGGTCAAATAGCCCTTACACAGCCTGGAGGTGTGTTTGGGGTCATTGCCCTGTTGAAAAATAAATGATGGTCCAACTAAACGCAAACCGGATGGGATGGCATGTCGCTGCAGGATGCTGTGGTAGCCATGCTGGTTCAGTGTGCCTTCAATTTTGAATAAATCCCCAACAGTGTCACCAGCAAAACACCCCCACACCATCACACCTCCTCCTCCATGCTTCACAGTGGGAACCAGGCATGTGGAATCCATCCGTTCACCTTTTCTGCGTCTCACAAAGACACGGCGGTTGGAACCAAAGATCTCAAATTTGGACTCATCAGACCAAAGCACAGATTTCCACTGGTCTAATGTCCATTCCTTGTGTTTCTTGGCCCAAACAAATCTCTTCTGCTTGTTGCCTCTCCTTAGCAGTGGTTTCCTAGCAGCTATTTGACCATGAAGGCCTGATTCGCGCAGTCTCCTCTTAACAGTTGTTCTAGAGATGGGTCTGCTGCTAGAACTCTGTGTGGCATTCATCTGGTCTCTGATCTGAGCTGCTGTTAACTTGCGATTTTTGAGGCTGGTGACTCAGATGAACTTATCCTCAGAAGCAGAGGTGACTCTTGGTCTTCCTTTCCTGGGTCGGTCCTCATGTGTGCCAGTTTCGTTGTAGCGCTTGATGGTTTTTGCGACTCCACTTGGGGACACATTTAAAGTTTTTGCAATTTTCCGGACTGACTGACCTTCATTTCTTAAAGTAATGATGGCCACTCGTTTTTCTTTAGTTAGCTGATTGGTTCTTGCCATAATATGAATTTTAACAGTTGTCCAATAGGGCTGTCGGCTGTGTATTAACCTGACTTCTGCACAACACAACTGATGGTCCCAACCCCATTGATAAAGCAAGAAATTCCACTAATTAACCCTGATAAGGCACACCTGTGAAGTGGAAACCATTTCAGGTGACTACCTCTTGAAGCTCATGGAGAGAATGCCAAGAGTGTGCAAAGCAGTAATCAGAGCAAAGGGTGGCTATTTTGAAGAAACTAGAATATAAAACATGTTTTCAGTTATTTCACCTTTTTTTGTTAAGTACATAACTCCACATGTGTTCATTCATAGTTTTGATGCCTTCAGTGAGAATCTACAATGAAATAGTCATGAAAATAAAGAAAACGCATTGAATGAGAAGGTGTGTCCAAACTTTTGGCCTGTACTGTATGTTATAAAACACAGGTTATTTTATGTGACAAAAATAGTGTTTTGATAATCGTTAATGTGTTGAGCTTTAAAGTTCATTCTTGACTTTGTAAACAGCATTTGACAACACAATCTTAAGAGGCGTTCCAGAGCGATCAGATCACATGATCTTCATCAGCAGATACAGTTTGCCCAGTTGCGATGTAATTGCTGATGTTTAAAAAAAATCAGATTACTTAAAAACAAAGGGTTTAACATATATAGGATATGTGCTTTTTTAACTGTCTGGTAGAGTTAGATGAGAGTATCAATACTACTCTCATGACTAATGAGTAAACATGAAGCTACAGCAAGCACGGCTCTTTTCAGGAAACAAAATGCACCTCTAAAGCTCACTAATTAAACCCTATGTGTTTATTCCTTACTATGACGTTTTTTGTGACTTTTTTGAAAAACTACTATGATGTTTGACTCTTGGACAAACTGTACTAGAACATTTTTCACGACTTTTTGGTCATACTATACTATGATGTTTTTTGTGAATCTATTTCGACATACTACTGTGACGGTTTTTTAACTTTTTCGACATATTACTATGATGTTTTTTGACTTTTTCGAAAATTCTATACTATGACGTTTTATGCCTTTTTTTAATGACTTTTGAAGACATACTATACTATGACTTTTTCATGACTTTTGAAGACATACTATACTATGACTTTTTTTTCATGATTTGGGACGACATACTATACTATGACTTTTTTTTCATGATTTGGGACGACATACTATACTATGACTTTTTTTCATGGTTTTGGACGACATGCTGTACTATGACTTTTTTCATGACTTTTGAAGACATGCTATACTATGACTTTTTTTCATGGTTTTGGACGACATGCTATACTATGACTTTTTTTCATGACTTTTGAAGTCATACTATACTATGACTTTTTTCATGACTTTTGAAGACATACTATGCTATGATTTTTTTTCATGGTTTTGGACGACATGCTATACTATGACTTTTTTTCATGACTTTTGAAGTCATATTATACTATGACTTTTTTCATGACTTTTGAAGTCATACTATACTAGACTTTTTTCATGACTTTTGAAGACATGCTATACTATGACTTTTTTTCATGATTTTGGACGACATGCTATACTATGACTTTTTTCAGGATTTTTGAAGACATGCTATACTATGACTTTTTTCAGGATTTTTGAAGACATGCTATACTGTGACTTTTTTCAGGATTTTTGAAGACATACTATACTATGACTTTGTTTTCATGATTTTGGACGACATGCTATACTATGACATGTTTTCATGGTTTTTGATGACACACTATACTATGACTTTTTTCATGGTTTTGGACGACATGCTATACTATGACTTTTTTCATGATTTTGGACGACATGCTATACTATGACTTTTTTTCATGATTTGGGACGCCATACTATACTATGACCTTTTTCATGATTGTGGATGACATACAATACTATGATGTTTTTCGTGTCTTTTTTAGACATACTATACTATACATTTTAGACATACTATACTATGATGTTTTTTGTGGAACTGTTTTGACATACTATACTGTGACATTTTCTGACTTTCTTCAACATACTACATTATGACTTTTTGTGTGACTTTTTGGACATACTATGACATTTTTTATGTCTTTTTTCAAAACTATTGATGTTTTTTATGAATTTTTCATAACACTATACTATGACATTTTTTATGATTATTATTATTTTTATTTTTTTTGACATACTATGACATTTTTAAGAATTGTGACATACTATACTATGATATACTATAAGGCGGTAATTCAACCACAGTACCATTACTAGTGGATAAACTTCAAATGGTGATGAAGATCCCATTTTACAATCGAAAGCTCCACAACACTTTGACAGTACTAAATGAACCTAGTGGAGAGATTGTTCAGTCAGTAGTTGTTTACAAAGTCAAGAATTAACTTTGAAGATTCATTTTTAAGCCAGCGTGGATCATACATGATTTGGGAAAAAATTTTAATTGAGCATGAGGTGGTCTCTTCCCCTCAGTGGACTTTATCACCTTTAGGAGTGTAAACATTAATCAGACTTGTTAAATACACTCTGCTGTGCCTCTCTGGTTTACTCACTGCTTTAGGTCTGTCTATTCTTGTGTTGGAGCGGCTCCTGGCTGCTTCTGTTCTCTGGCGTTGTGACTCTGGAGCAATGTCCTGAAGTGTGGTGTTGCTGGTGAGGCTGCCAAGCTGCAGAGCGGACTGCTGCTGACCAGCCCTGCATGGACCTGAGACAGAAATAGAACAGAAACTGAGCTTTACTGCTCCCCACTGCGGGGCAAAAACACAATCTATAATGAAGTTTAAAATGTCATCACAAAAAGTTATGACTATCTGGATGACAAAATGGTTTTAATTTCACTCCTGAACCGCATGGGCAGCTAGAAGCCAAGGTGTAACTGACAAGATATGATTTTTGCAGATTATCACTTCACTGCTCTGAGATAAAGGTGAAACTAAGACACTGTGGAGGGTACAGTACCCGCTGAGGGACTTCTAGGACTCAATCTGCTCACTGACAGCGTGTAGTAAGTCCTGCTTTGCCCTGCAAGAAAATCAGGAAATGTCAGGGCAAATAATCTGAGGCAAATGGAGACGCTCTCACAGCTAACCTGAGAGACACAGAGAGGCTCTATCATATCGTCTCTCTCTGTCTGGTAATGTGTACCTGTTGTAGACGTGCATCTGGAGAAAGCTGCTTGCATGTCATTCAGTTGGTGCTGCAGTTTATCCACCCGCTGAAAGGCTTCTTGTTTGAGGCTGAGCTCTTGTTGTAGCTGCCCCCTCACCTACAGTAGATCCACACAGCAGGAAACATGAAGTTACAAGTATCTCTTTATTATCTGACCTTAATCTGAGAGTTCATACAACATCAGGTCAGATGTTGGTCCAGACTGAAATGTTTCAACAATTACTTGATGGACTGCTTTGAAATGTTGTACAATGTTCACTGGAGAAATACTAATGATTTTTTGCAATAAAGCATCAGCGTGATTTTTAAATGTTGTTTTGAGTGTGATGTCTCATTTACTCTTTGACTGGCTGCATC